TACGAAAACGAGACAACTACTCCGCTAACGTGGAATGCCTAGCGCAAACCTTAACTGTAAAAAAATTAGGACTTCACATTTGTGCATGAGATTCGCCTGAAGAGGGGATTTTGGAAAATAATCATATCAAGTGATTCATCCCATAGATGGACAAAGTGATTAGAGTAATGATATTATTATTTGGGGTGGTTTGTGCTATGTTGTATCAACATTATTAACAAGGAGAGACCTATGACACGGGGTTTACTTTCCTGCCTACCCAGCACGCTTTTCGTTACCGTTGTGCCACGAATTGTTGAGCTGGAACGTTAGCCACTGCGTCTTTAAGAAGAGCCAGCTTTGGCACTCAAGTTGGTTGTTTGAGTACACGTTTCTGTGTATAGATGTTCACACAATTTTAGTCTTGTTATAATAGGTACCTGCCGTATTTCAGCACAAATTTGTGCTTTAAAGGTTCATAACAATGCCCAGCCGAAGGTTCGCTGAAAAGGGTACTGATTGAGGTTTTTCTCTTTTGCAGAGTGAAACTCACAGACGTTTACGAATATGCAAAATTATGAAATGTATCAACTACGCGGCCTATAGAAGCAGAACTAATGCAGTCAGCTCACTTGAAGTAGCGTACGTTTTGGGAGCGTGTAAGCCACACGATATGCCAGTCCCTTAATCTACTTCACCCTGTGTGTCAAAAACTATTGGCAACCGTAAATAACCTGGGCTGATTGCGTCATACGGTACTGCTAAGTCGCTTTTGGGGTATGTATGGTCTCTGTTAGGCGTAGAACCATGTGTCGATTTGCATGGATCATTGGATGCGTCACGCCAGCACGTGCTCACAATAAGTTCACTGCTAATCTGAAGAGTATCTTAGCCAGCGTCAAGAGTTCATGTCGATCAGCAACACGTATACAACGCGCAAAACCAGCAAGATTTGACGACATGCTGACATGTTACACAATGCTTTATTTTGCTGCTCATTAACAAGATAAATCAATACAATCATTTTCTTCAGCAGGATGATCAAAAGCACAACGTCTTGGTAGGTTTGCATGCCACGGTCTGCTAACCAACCTTTGGTATTATGACGGTTTGCATCACGGATGTTTGTTCGATCACATCTTTATAATAAGATGAAATTAACTTGGGTAATACAACGTGGGTTTTATAGATTGATTCAAGCAATCTGTTGAACGACGTCGAGTTACGCGCCAAACCCCAAAAGCCAATTCTTTCAAATGGAGGTTTATCTACAAATGCGGTACTATAAGTACAATAATAAAATGATAAAGCTTTACAAACCTCAAATCGTGGG